CATTAGTTAATCAGCGCAGAACAACCTCCGAAGTTGGGGATAAGGGTGTGTTAAGGGCTGCTTGCGGGTTCCAATTTCGTGACGAAAAAGTAGTCGTCTGCTGCGGATGATAAGTAGTGTCAAGGGGACGGGTTTGGCGCGGCGCCAGCCCATTTATTTTATTTTTTTTTTCGGCAAGCGACAAAACTGTGAACATCGTTCGTATCAGTCGTTTTTCACCAACTGTTGTCGCATACCCGCTTCACGGCTGGTGAAGAACGGGCTGGCGACGCGCTAAACCCAGCCTCATTGACGCGCCCCATCATCCGCAGCGAACAAGGCTGTAGCTGATGAAATAGAAGGCGGTGGTGGGTTGTGACGATTAGAACACCCAACTGAAGAGCATTCGGACCAGGTTCGAGCCATCATTAGGGTCAACTCGGACTGCTGGGTTGCTTAGAACCCACCAGTCTTATTATGAGTGTTGGCGGCAGTCTGCCTCCAGATTAAGGTTCCAATCACCACAAAGACTTTCCAGGTAGTGAAACGATTAGAAGTTAGCGGCGCATTCCATACTCGACAAATGGAGTCTGCTGAGGTGAAAGTTCCGTGAAGCAGTTGGCAAGGCAGAACTACTGAAGCCACACTGTAATGTCTATTCGAACTACACCGGCCACATATATCCTGCCAAAAAGGTGAGATACTTAGGTGTGCATTCTCAAAGTTCCTCTTCCCTGAAGTTTTTTTCAGTCCGAAATCCGTACTGCGATGATAAAGCAAATCACGAGTCCAGTAAAATGGGAACAAATCCAACAATTGCTCTACCGAAAGCATCGTGTAGGTTTAGTCGCTTGACAGTTCTCCATCTTGAAAGTCGGAAACACATTCCGCGATACCGGGCTGGGCGGAGACAGAGTGCAACGGTGTATTCCTCACTGTTGCGCCCCCTTCTGTTTAGAATAGTGAAGAGGGGTCGCGCATCAAATGTGATTATTCTGTCGCCGCCCTATACAGTCCATTAATGCGCATTTAATTTTATTGAGGATTTTTTGAAGACACGAATTCAGTCTTTGATTTTAGAATTACACTTTTCCGATGTTCGTTGAATTGGGTGCTGGTCGACAACTTGGAGCAATGTTATTCCAAACCAGTAAAAAGGCTCACAAAAATTACCAACATTTTAGTTGCTAGGATACTTTTGTGGCGCACTTCGCATGGGTGGAGGGGAGAGGGGTATTCTGCTCTTTAGCTGCTTCTCGTTAAGCTTGAGAAGCCATGAAGTGGTGCTAGTCAAAGTGTAGGAACTACTTGTTAAATCTTGTGAAGAATACCTGTCAAGTCTTGTAAACTAATGAACGCGACAGTGGGAAGCGGCGGGAGTGCAAAACGTTCCCCCCCCCCCCCCCCAAGCCGAACTGCGCCCAGTTTGTTGTTAGTTTCTATTTTCTGATGTCATCATTTTCCGATCATTCATGTTGTTATTGTTGTACTGAATGGTGATTTGTTGCGTGCTCACGGTTCGTTTAGATAAGAACTTCGTGCTTATCGGAGTGTCACGAGGAGGTGTTGCTGTTTACTTACGTTTTGTCGCAGTTGGCCGCCACGGTGGAGACAAGCTGGCGCCGCGCCAAAACTTACGTACGCAGACCTTTGCATAACTCACCGATGGCGATAGTGATTAGAAGCGTTATTCAGTGTATTGAAAGGTCTCAATATAAAAATGTAGACATGTTTTAAAAGCAGTTTTTCAGGGGGGGTTCAGAGATTGATTACAACTTAGGGGAGCTGCTGAACGCCCTCCCACTAGTGACACAGGCAATGCTTCCCCGCCCCCTATCCACTGTGAATTGCGCGCTTTTTAGGGGCACTAGCTTCCCTTCCGATCGCAACCTGTGTCATGAAACAAAGAACATGCACAGAAATACCATCAAAATGTTAATATATCACAGAACACAGATCACTCAACCATTATAAACAGATCGTACATAGTACATACGTTGGCTGACTAAGCTGTCATGGGCTTAGTAACTGAAGTAACAGCCCAACTTCTTTGAGCACAATAAGAATACTGTTAAAAGATTCCAAAGAAACGCTGTGAATCACTACTGTAAGGTGGTGGCCTTTTTTCAGGCCATATTCTGTCGTTGTGCTAACAGTCGAGTGCAACCAGCTTTTTGCCTGGAAAGGATGGTTCACGATTAGTGATCTACAATATACGACACTACCCTAAGACGTCATCGCGTTCGAGGGGACGCGTGGTGAAGTCGCCAGACTGCTTTCTGAGTTAAAGCCGTGTACGGGCCCTATTCTTCTGAATTCGACCCTTGCGAACGGAAGAAGTCGCAGCATCCCGTCCCCCTTTACGGTAGCGCTTATTTCAGTAGTGTGCTCAAGTTACAAGGACTGAGAAGAGGTGGGGGAGGGGGTGGTTGCTGCCCTCACTTGGAAGCTGGAGGGGAGCAGTCAGGCCGGTACGCGCCCTTTCCGCTGACTCAGGAGTTCTCAATGATAGACTGCCGTCAGTGACACGTTACAGCATCGCAAGGAAAATACTATCAGGGAGGTTATATTTGGTCAGGAAATGTTCCCCAGACCTGGAATCCAGCACCCTTAAATCCTTCCGGTCATAAGGGAATTTTAGGTTGTTTACCTCTCAAAATAAGGAGGTCGTGAAGCAGCTGTTTTTAGAAGAAAACTGGAATTTCCTTCTGGGAAAGTGAGAAAGTTAATAGGAAGTTGGGAAAATTTGGGAAGTTGTTTGTTCAGATGGGGAATGGGGGTCGTATCGGAGGAATGTTCAGGAAAGAGGCTCGTCTGATACCCCCATTTCTCCCATCCTAATGCTGAGTCCAGTCCAATGAACCTCTCCTAAAAGAACCAGCCTTAGCGAGCGCGAAATAGCAGAACAAGGCATAGACATGTCTTATTTACTGCCTCCCCCCCCCACGCCCACTTGCCACATATCGCCTCCTTTACTAGCACCTTAAAGCTAAGCGCTGCTTTCCGGATAACTGCGTAAAAAAACTTGGACTTAGCGGGAAACATAAAGTAAGCCTATCCTCAGGACTGCGAAAAGATGTTTTCAGGAGTTGACTTCGCTCGGTTTCTCCCATTTCACGCGCATTACCCCTTCTCGAAACAGCGTTTTTCTCACTGAGAAGAGCTTTCCGGGGAGTTTGGGGAAAGAAGCCCAGGAAAGCGGTAGGAACTTCGGGTAGTTTAGAGAGATAGGATAGGGGGGTCGAATTTTGTAGAATTTTTCCCCAGCAGCAAGACGTGCCGTGAAGAAGATCCGAATCTAATGTCTGTTTTACCAACCTGTAGTGTGGCAGAACACGGAACGGTTGTCCATGTCCGGGTACGATCCAGTCGGCCATGCAGATGATAAGGTTCGCGTTTTGACGTTTTATAGCCGAATCCCAAACACTTTCCACATCCAAAGCATCTCGCTGTAAATAAGTGCTTAAGTTTTTGTCAGTCTGGTTACTAACAGGAACATGAGGCTGATGGTAGACGCCAACCTTCTCGCTGACAAGTGCTTCGCTCGGTATAAGATCACCGACAATGGCCATTGTGCCGTAATTAGCAACGTCATGAACCAGGACGGTAAGATCTTGTTGCGTATGTCCAGGTGTCTTCCAAACTTCGATATGTGGAGAGAGCTTACGATATGGACGCTGAAAAAAAAGATAAATTTCTGCTAAAGACAATTCTCACGGTTCACAACCAATGGCTAGCGCCACTCGCAATCCCGTCTCCCTGGGTCGGCACAACTCAGATCCCTGGCCGGCCCTTTGTTACTACTAGGTTTGGCTAGTCTATTCCTATTGATTTGTTAGCTTTGCAAAGTGAGGGTTTCGTACTTCTTTCAGTTCAGTGGGTGTAGCGTGACGTCCAATGTACTCCATCGAATGGAACAGAATAGGCTTCTGTGCGAAAGAAGTTCATGTTGCCCATGTACCCAGGATGACCATGAGTGACAACGACGGTGTTGATCTGATCCAATGTCACGCCCTCTTTTGACAGACCTGAAAAGAGCGAGATTGAGAATGTTCGAGGTTGCGAGGCATGTAGCCGCGCCACAAAACTGAGCGGCGGCTGTGCGAGTCATAGACAGGCTGCTCCAGTTCTATGGAGGGGGGGGGGTATGTGACAAGAGGATCGTCGCGTGCGACGTCGCGCCCGCAAATGACGATGGTTCCAGGTAGTAGATGGCGACAACAGGCAATTCAGAACCGAAAATAGTCATGAATGTCTACGACGACGGGGTCTAAATGAAGTCCGGTGTTCCAGTCGACATGTTAACACAAGTTAAAAAAACGCCGCTCCCATCGCCGCGCGCGGCGGAGCGGCGAGTTACGATTCTCTTGCCTGTCTCCCATGGTGGGGTAATAATTTTTGCACGCCCACGGCGTTTGCACGCACACGGCAGGTGCCGTGTGATCTCACGGTGATGGCACGGCGAATGGCTGGACAGTGACCATCGCCGCGCGCCAACGGTAATAAAGGCTCTGTTCGGCTCGGGAGGGTGTAATTTGCACCTTCACTTTTGTTGGTTACTTTTACTAGTTTCTGTTAACTAACAGGCTCTACTTAAGTGAGACATCCAAACTTTTGTAAAGCTTCAAAGCGGTAAAAGTGGGCCAACATAATAACATGATTTCACATGTCTGCACAAGGCGGCCTGCACGGACAGGCTAGCTAAGTACTACTCAGTGCCCCCATCAAGTCGAACTGCGCTGGCAATGAGCTCAGTGAATCCTTGTGAAACTACGTCAAACGCGTAATGATAAATGCAGTTGGTAACAGTAAAATTACTGAGCGGACCCCGCTACAGAGCGGGACAAACGCTGAGGAAGAAGAAGAAGAACAGTAAAATTAGTATGTATTTCAAGAGAAATATTTTTGCCCCTATTTTCTCCCTAAATATGGTTCTCGCCTTCATGATTGTTTTTTCCGCATTCAAAAGTAAAGGGGTGTAAGACTGGTCCACGTTATTTGTTCAAAATATGGTTCTCGCCTTCATTCCATGTCCTGGCCTTGTTTACCATGTACCGGTGAAGTGTTAGAAAGTTCAGTCTCATGGAGAGCTGTAGCGGAGTTAACACACGCGCTTTTCTGCGTGCCTATTAGGTTGAACAAGAAGTTTTCTGGTTATACAAATCGTTCTAGAGAGGACTGCACTTTTTTTGGGATGCCTCAGCCTCCGATTACTGTGAAAGGTTCCTGATATTTTCAAAAATGCAATCTGGGTGTCGGAGAACATTTGCCCAATCTGATAGCAAGTGCGGCGTGCGCTGATAAGTTTTCGTGCCCCCCCCCCCTCCTTTCCTCCGCTGCCCTTCCACAGGGCTACTGGAGCTCGGATCTCTAGGCGCGTTCATACTTCACTACTCGATGGTTCTGCGACGAACCACGTGCGTGGCTAATCCAATCCTATACAGTGTAGGCAAACGTGCGTCGCTAATCCAATTCTATACAGGGTACAACAATTTTCGACGTTGCAGCTGTCCGGCAATTGGCAATGTTGTGCAAATTCAGGACAACCAGCTTACAACCGATTCGCCCCCAACGCCACTTGCAAACCTTTTTTGCCAAGCAGGCACAACACCCAGTCGGCATAACTTTCCAACTGTCTGGTTCCCAAATCCTGCGACTGATTGGTAAGTATGAACACAGCCCTAGGCCGCTTTCATAGTCGGCAATGACCGCGATCCTGCGATCGCGCGTTTTTGACCCGCTCGATCGATCATTGCGTGATCTGGTCCCCGATCTGCAACGGACTCCACCAGCTAACGTCCGCCCAGTGTCAAATCAACTTGCTGCTCTTACCACGTTCACATGCATGACGTGCTACCATTACCGCTGTGACCTCCCACATTCTGATTTCTTGCGTATTTCGTATTTATTTATTATTTATTCTTTCTTTCGTGTTAAGTGATTTCCGGAGCCACCCTCGAGTCATCTACCCTTGATAAATCTCAGTTTGCCGTATGCTCTTCTGCACGTTCCTATTCTCTGACTCTGGCTCTTACTATTCTCCGCGCTACGAAGCTTCGCGGCATGAGCAAGTTAAGTTTAAAGCTCGAGCTGACACGGATCCAGCTGAGGCAGCATGTTCCGAAAAGTTCTCCTCTACTACTTCTTCAGCTTGTTATAGCTAACATCTGGCTCCCTGACAGGAGAGGGACATTCTATGTACGTTCAAATTTGGGCGCTAGGTGTACTTCAAAATATCCGAGGCGCGATTAAAGAGGCGAGAGAGGCGTTGCAAGCAGGCTTCCGTTCGTGGCATTCGCATTTGGATTGGTTGCTGCGCGTCAGATCAATTAGTTGGAAAATACAATGACGCCCGGTGGGTGTCCTAAATTAGACTCTGGATACTACTGTAAAGTTGCTATCACTGAAGTCAGTCGGGGCTCGTCAGCGAGGCGTCGGTTCTGACACGGCGCGACCACCTTTCTCATCACTTGTTGAACGACCGAAACCGTAACGATAAATGGGAAATGGGATGGCGCCGCTTCAAACTT